TTTTTTTGAAAAGTTAAACAGCATTACCCAAACGGTCTTACTAGTATTTGTTGTTTAAAGTGTCGTCGTATTGTTTAAAAAACTTTTCATGGCCTATAGAAGTTCGGTTCACCTGACAACTAAGTTTTCTGTCAAAGGACATAGTTGTGATTTTAAATTCAGAAAAGTGAAATCACAATCATACTAAAACTACTAAGTTTATTGTCCGATTGTCGTCAAAAGTAGTTTTCTTGCCCGACTTAGTCATATTATGGCACAATCAATAGCTACTGGATTTGCCGTAGCCAACACATTTCGAAAGATGAATAGGTAGCCGCACAATGAATTGTCAAAACATTTTTGAAATTCGAAGCTGTGTATAAAAAGTTAATTAAATTCCTTAAATTTTTTGAAAAACAGATATCATAATAACCTCTGAATGGCGTCGTATAAAAAACATTTAGTCATATGTTCATATTTTTATACCCTCCACCATAGTATGGTGTCCGTATGTGGAAATCACTCCAGCTTCCGAACAAATTGAAGTAGGTTAATAAAATGTTACTCAGATGTGTGTTTGGTCTGTAGGTTTTTTTGGTTTTGGAAATGAAGTATATTCCTTTTCCTATATAACTATAACTACCTATCTATACTATATTCGGTATTTTAAAGATTTTGGCGTTATTATTCACCCGGATTAATTCAAATGTCGTATTTGTAGTACGTTATGGGTGCTACAGTCTGTGACAGAAAACTGACCATGCGGATCCACCTCTACGTATAGCCCCTTTTTAACCGTACCTCCTTATAATCCCTATTTTGATGATTTTAGCGACATTGTTCACCGGATTGTTTCAAATTTCGTATTTTAAGTTTGTCCCAGTCAGTAAAAAAAATTGTCTATGCAAGTCCATGTCAGCCCCCATTTAACAGAACCTAACTAAATTCGGTAGTTTTGTGTTTTTGCGACAGTATTCACCGTTTTTTTTTTTTTTCAAGTTTCGTATTTGAATATTGTAATGTCTCCGTGTAGAACGCAATATAACGGTAACTCCCTATATTCAGAATTTTAATGATTTTAACAGTTTTTTAATGTATTTTATTTTTGTGCAAATTTCCAAATTCCTTCCAAATGGTGGAGGGTATACAAAGTTCAGCCCGATCGAACTTATTGGTTATTACTTGTTGTAAATATGGATATATAATACATCTACCTATACATTTCTGACATTTACAAATACCGCTACTAAAGTTTCCATCAAATGATGTCCAGGCCAGAGAGGCCTACTTTTTGTATTCAAATTTTTGTTGATAAGAATTGAGGGGGAAGATATTAACAACAGTTGGTTTCAACATTATGGAGCAACCTGCCACAAAGACGAAGCTATAATCGATATCCTCCTCCTCAATTCTTATCAACAAAAATGCCAATAAAAAAGTAGCCCACATCAAAAACATCAATCATCACATTACAGTTAAAATTCTAAAACCACAAATAATTGAACCTGGCTTGGACCGGTATTTAGAAATGTATAGGTAGATGTATCATATGTTCGTTTTTACAACAAGTAACAACCAATAAGTTCTGTCGGGCCGAACTTTGTATACCCTCCACCATTTGTAAGGAATTTGGAAATTTGCACAAAAATAAAATACATTAAAAAAACTGTTAAAATCATTAAAATTCTGAATATAGGGAGTTACCGTTATATTGGGGTCTACACGGAGACATTACAATATTCAAATACGAAACTTGAAAAAAACCCGGTGAATACTGTCGCAAATATATATGGAAAATGTATATATGGAAAATGTATGGTAAAATTAAAACCTCCCAAACGACAAAGTCATTGAAATTAAAGTGGATTTTCAGAAACAAGTACAATGGAGATTAGAATCCATTAAGATACAAAGTCCGTTTAGTGGTAAAAGGTTTTCAGCAAATGAAAAACTTGTATTATAGTGACTTGTATGCTCGCATTGTCAAACTTTCAACTGTTCAGGGATTTAAGAACTCCATTCTTAAATGGCGAGCTGAAAGAGAAGAGACAGGGCATGTCGACCCTTAAAATATATTTGTGGGTTAAAACAAACGCCAAAGTGTTCGAACGAGACTCTTAATAAACATCTCATGGCATTGGGATATGCATTAAAAAATTAAAAACACAATTGGAATTGGGAAAAAAATAAGCTGTCTTCTACCACTTAGCATGTCTGATCTAAGAATTGCGGTTGTCATACTGACTGGTCACTGCAGTATCAGATATCTGACCTCAATGTAGGATAACAGACTTCTTGGCTTCTATAGACTTAACGAAAATAAAGAAGCGGTGGAGACGATTGAACATCTACTTGATGATGTCCTTTGTTATCAACCAGGGGATATAGCCTATTTGGTAAGTGGGAGATAGAAAAACGAATGTTCCTCTCAGAAATAGATCTCATCATCGTCTACAAATTTACAAATTTCCCTGGCTAGGCAAACTATGCTGCTAAATATACATCTCTCCTTAACCCCTTTCCTCTCTTTCACGTTTCTATCTCTTACCTCACAAACAACTTATGGAGCTGCGCATCATTTAACGAAAAATGGAAACGAACATTGTTCCTCCAAGCCGTCGTTGGATTGTGTACTCCCTGTTGCTTTATGTGTCGTCCTCAATGCAATTGTTGGTCTATCAATGCACGCCAATTTTCACCTTTAATAGTTCGAACAAGTCGAAAGTTGTATTCGATCCGAATTTAAACTCTTACTATGTAACAGTTTCGGATCGAGTAAAAAATGCTGTAACTAATTTTTTTTATTTTGGTAGTACTTTCGAGTGTATTATTCAGAATTGGCAGCATTTACTTCGTAAAATATCGAAAATATAAAAAAGCAAAACTCAAAAATTAGAAATAATTACGTTTCACACGCCTCAAAAAATGCATTCGTTTGCTGCCTTTAACCAACTGTGATTGTTCCGTCATAGAAAACTCAAAAATTAGAAATAATTAAGTTTCACGCACCTCAAAAAAATGTATTCATTTGCTGCCTTTGGCCAACTGTGGATGTTCCCTTATAGAATTGAGTATTGTCTGAAATTGGCTTTGCTTTGTTTTGATCCTCCATCATGGAAAGCAGGGTATATTCAATTTTGGCTTAACTCTAGTTTAGTAAAACTCTTTAATTTTTTCGACATTTTTTCCAGTGGTAGGTATTTTTAACCTGATCCCGGGAAACTATTTTTTTCTTGGGGAACGGACCCGGGACTCCAGATTTTTGAACCTAAATTCCGGGTTCAAGACCCAGACTGGACCCGGATCCAATTAACCGATATAGACAGTATAGCTTATGAAAATACCTATCCAACATGTGGTCACATAATCAAACCAAAGTTTTCTAAATTTGACACTTTTTGTAAATAGCCGGCCTTTAACCGGGGGTTGAGATTTTCTCCTCTGAATATGTCCAACACCGGCTAACGCGAACCAAAGTTTCAACGACGGCTACGCGAAATAAACCTTTTTTACTGAAAACATAATTTTAATGAACTGGTTAGAATCGGGTTATGCGGATGGAAAGACCCATATCTCTGGAAACGAAAAAGTTATTATCAAATTGTAGCATATTGGAAAGGTAAAGAGTGTCAGCTATAATTTGGCGTCAATTATGTTGACCCCCATAATGGGCCGTTTTTGGACTGTTTGGGGGTTATATAAGAAATGTGACATGTGACCACTTGTTGGATAGGTATTAAGCTTTCCAACGATACCTATATTTTCTATATCGGGTAAGTGGATCCGGGTCCAAGCCGAGTCTAGAACCCGGATATTCGGGTCAAAATAGTTTCCCGGAATCAGGGTAAAAATGCCTATCTCTGGGAAAAAAAAAATCCTATCACGAAACAGCCCTCATTATTTGACGTTCAGAAATTTGCACAATAACCTGTATTGCGTCGGCATCGGTCCACGTTTTCGTATAGCCCTCATATAACGGTAGCTCCCTATATATTATACTTTTCAACGGAATTGTTCCAAATACGGTATTAAGAGTTTCCAAGGGATTCTACCTATTGTAGCTGAACAATGGATAGGTCCACGTTTATATATAGCGCCCATATAACGGTACCACCAGATATGTCTCATTTTTACGATTTAGGCCACATTTTCCATCGGATTTATTTAAAATTCGGAATTTGAACGTTCGGTATTAGAACATTGTCCATACTGGTCCATGGTTTCTATATAACGATACCCACCGATATTCGGCATTTCGATTATATAAGCCATATTTTCCACATAATTGTTACACACATGGTATTTAAAACTCACAAAACAACAAACCTATATGGGTTTTCGTTTTGGCATTGCCCCCATATAACGGTTCAAACCACTTTATTATTTATAGAATACACTTTAGCTAATGGTTCAATACCCTCGAAAGTTTTTCATTTCAATTTTCAGTGTTTTATTCAGTTGTTTGAATTTCAACAACTTTCCCGTTTTTTATTCATATTCGTTAGCTAAATATCAAACGAGTAGAAATGTAAACTATTGAACGACTTTTACTTCTAAATTCGAAGTACATAGTGATTCAAATCCTAAAGTAGAGTATGAGTATCCTATACTCGGATATGACAGTCCGGAAGTAGGAAATGGGTTTGCGAATTTGAGTTAGTTTTTAAAAAAAATCGCATCCGAAATATTTTACTTTCGAATCGAGTTACATAGTAACCCCCCAGTTTTTAATATGATGCTCTTCTTCTTGGACAAACTTGCACAAACAAGTGTATCTTCTGTTGAATCATAAACAATTTTGTATTAAATATTTATGTATAAAATACAAAATTGTAATATTGTAAACCGTAGTACCAATGTGTGCTATTTGATCTTTATCGACTACACAGTTTTAACCTGCACATTTGGAAAGAAATAAAAGGTACAATGATTACTGAACTTTTCTGATATGGGTTCCGTAATTTAAAGACCTACCCACTGCTAGATCAATCAAAAATACTAAAAAAATAAAAGACATAGAAAAAATTATAACAAACATTTTTATTATTTATGCATAATATAATAACAACAACTAAGATTGGCAAAAAGTAATACTAACGGCGGCGGTCCAATATAAGTGTGTAAAAGTTATAACAAACCTCTTGCAGTGCTACGCATACATAGACGAAGGTTATCAAATAACTCAAACGATAAACTATCTCCTGGCAAAACAAAATACACCCGCAAACACATAAGTATAGTATAATCGCTACATAATGGTATCCAGATCTGCAAAACAAAAAGATTAAATTTTGCAACGTACTTATTTATATATACTTACGATTTGCGAGGAGCTCCCAATTGTAACAGCACGCTGAGGCATGTTAGAGTTATTATTGTGGGTATAATAAATGGATCCGGAAGATGTTCGTGTATGTGACCTTGGCTAAAAAGTGATGAACTATTATACATATTGAACATTAAAACTGAGATTTAAGACACATACTACTTAGCTTTTATCCATGCTACACTAAGACCGAAATTAAGTGCGGACATTATGCCGAGTAACATAAGCATTGTAATGTGAAAGGCAAAATTTTCTAATCCTTCAAAATAAGAACATTTCTCCTCATTGGCCACTTCATTGGAGTCGTCAAGTTCATTGGTGTCCCCATTCTCGTTATTTGGAATCAATTCTTGTCCAGGGTTTCCATCAACAGCAATTATTTCCCTTTGTGACAGGGCAACTGTCCCTTTATTTTTTGAGGTTGATCTAATTTTTTGACGAATTCTTTTAAATATCCCCTTTGCTTTATCCCATGCCCAATTCTCCAGGTAATCTTTGTACGCATTAGAAATCTTTAAATAAAAACAACGTGTAAAAAGAACATTGCCGAGTTCACACAATATTACTACTGTAATACGTACCACTAAAAAGTAAAATATTGTTGCCAGTGTTAATCCAATTCCACTACATGTGCCTACTGATATCGATATAAACAGTACTCCAAAGGATAAGGGTAAAGTGGTAACAACTTTCATTAAAATTTCCGACGAAGCCGTTGATAGTCTTGTCAATCTTTGTATATATAGAAAAGGTCAGTAGTCAGAAATAAATTCTCTAAATAAACTTACTTAAGTGCAATTTTGTGAAGAATGTTACCATGAAATGTCAAGATCGTCCATATAGAAAAAACTGAAACGATGGATAGCACAATTGCAGTTCCGTGTATAATTATAGAAACATAGAAACTGTAGTTCGAAGTATCAGGAGATATTGGAAGAAATTTCAAATTTAGTAAGAGTTTCTTTAAAAGTCGGCACCCTAAAAAAGACAAATTTTAGTTTCAACACTCATATTTATACTTTCAAGGCAATTGGTCACCTGTTACAATGTAAAGCGATTTACTCTGAAAAAACCCGGCATAGGGCTTCACAAACAATGCATCTTCGGAGTTTTGAAATGACACGATTTGATTCCGAAGAACTAAAAATAGTACTGCAGTTAAATGCGCCGGCAACCAATGATAGAACTCCTGTACAATCTTGGAGAAAGTTCCAGCAATAGAAAATTGGTAACTAAAATGATTTCACTATTAATTATTATTATACAAAATGCTTTTAAAGTCAAACCTTATTTTGTAACGGCAACTTGGATTTAAAAATAAATCTAAAGTTACTGGATTTTGAGTTGTGTTATAACCACTTGGCGTAGAAAATGGCACATTCACATATATTGTTTTTACTTTTGTATCATGTCTGAAAGAAATAACGGCTGTAGTTTATTAGAGGCTACTAAAACTAGTGATAGCTTCACGACATACGTTAGATGAATATGCCTATTGAAGCCACGAGCCCAAGGAATGCATATTTTTGCAGTTACTCCAAACTCATCATCTCCACATTCTACAGGTTCAATATCAAATTGTACAGTGGGAAATGGCTCGTCCAATCCTTTAAAGTATGATTCAAAAATTACAAACATATCAACACCATAGGTATATTCTACATTTAAATACAAAATGTTCCAGCAAACATGAAATAACATTCAACCACATTTTTTCTGTCGGGGACCTAACAAGTACTTAATTTTCGTCGTTAGCTTACCGACAATTTTCGTTTTCTTTACCGAAATTATAAGAAATAGTACTATTGTAGTTAATTGTGTCGTGAAATGATTAGAGAATCCCACTACCGATTCTCACAATTTTGAGATAATATATTAATGCTTTAGTAAAAATATTCGTTTCCACAGGTATATAGAAAAATGTCCAGTATAAAACCACTTACCTTCAATAAGAACTCCGGTGTGTATTGTTCCCATGACTGTTTCATTAACGAGTGTTTTTAGCTTTGGTAGGGAAAACTTGGGAGCTTTTATTTTGTATTTCCGATCTTCTACACTATAAGCATCGATTTTTAGTGAAGTCTATGCAAAATAAAAAAAAATAAATTTAAATTTGCAGAAATTTCATTATACTTTGGCAAACTAACCGGCTTGTTGGTGGGTTTTAGCCGAACGAGGATATGTGTCCAATCTGGATAGTACTTTAGCATGCGGTGGATATCGAGTAGTACCATGTATCGATAGTTATCATGAGAGGGTATGGTTTGAACAAAATGTGAAAGCGAAGTTCCCTTCTGACTGTTTAAAAATTTTAATAAAGATTAGCACCTGTTTGAACTGTCTCATATTTTTTAGAGAGCTCAATTATTTCGTTTTTCAAGAAAAAAATATGCACGAAATTATTTGATTTTTTTTAAGCATTCTGTTGCATCGATTCTTCATTTTTTGTAGGATATTTCTTTTTGGTTCAAATGAGTACAATTTTATAAGTTTTTATCACATGTAATGCAGGGAATATAGACCCACAGTTACATACATTGATGATATACTTTGACTTAATATTTCACAAAACCGCTACATTAACAAATCAAATGTATAAATTTGCATTTTTAACTGCATTTTGGTGTTCTGAAATTTATTACACAAAGACTATTCTTAGAGATGATAAATACTCACCAGTACAATCCACTGGCCTCAGTTCTATGTGCTGTACAGCCGAAAACCCAATCATTTTCGAAATCTTCGTAGCTATCAATTTCAATGTAGATTTTCTAAAAGTCGCATGAAGTATAAGCATCTCATTTTGCGTTTATGTCACAATTATCGAACATACCTTCAATTCCTTGTATTTCGCTGTTGGTAATAAGTGATTATAATCAGCACGTAATCCATTTTTAAACACTTTTCGAAAAGCAATTTTAGAATCTTCCTGCCAACTTGAGCCAGAATTTAATTTGGGGAAATATACTTCATTAGATTTAGGCTTATTTAAGGGTTTCTGAAAAAGCAACACCAAATTGTATGATCATATATATATTTGCCATTACGCCAGTTAAAATCCATGTATGTAAATACAAACCACAAAGTAATTTATAGCTGTTTGAGTGCGATAGTATTTATCGGGAGAAAAGAACACATTTTTGTTTTCATCAATGACAGATATCCCGAAAATGAAGCGGTTAATCACCAATACCAATTGCAAACACCATACAGCAGACAAATGGTCACAGCTCAACCAAACTTTAGGTATCGATGAAGTCTTTAATAACATGCATATTAGAGCAAGTACAAAAAATAAAATGTGTAATTTATTTACCATTGCGTGAATATCATTGTACTGAGAAGTAGTTAAACCATCACGTACCAACAGATCGCGATTGCCTCCGCCCATAGAAATCATAAGAATGTTATCTAATATTTTCGACTCATTTCCCTGGTGCGGTATTTTATCCTGATAATTTAAGCATACATTTGTTTGTCGGTTTGGCAGATGTGTAGTTCGTTTGTTATGGAAATATCCATCAGTATTCGAATAAAACTCATTAATTTTTGGATCGAAATTTACAACTGGCTTGTCTATTGGCGATGATATGAATATTATGGTGTTGATATATTTGGCAATTGCGGGGTCTTGTATTACAGCTTGAGCCACTTTACCACCCATCGAATGACCCACAAGTATTATAGATTTGTCCACATTGTTCGCCTCTTTGTATAATGTTCTGACTGCTAAAATAGCAATTCGCAAGAAAAGTTTTTGATTCTCTAAATATCCTCCGTATAAAGCCGAAAGCTGTTCCTCAAAATTTACTAGAAAGAGTATAATTAATGAATAAAAATTGTTCATACATTTACGAAGGATATTAATTTTAATAAATAATTAAAATCTGTTTGTTGTCAATTTGTGTGGGAGCTGTAGCCATATTTGCGTTATAAATTGGAATAAATATGTCGAAGACAACTAATTTCTAATGTTCAATTTTCTATGCGTTAAAAATAGGAAAAAATATGTTGAAAACAACTAGTTTTTTATGTACAATTTTTAATTCTTGATACTTAAATTCAGTGGACATTTCAGTGTCTAAAGGGGAAGATGTGGAAAATCCTTATGTCAGGAAGTATATAATTTGTTTAATATATCCATTGCGTTGAGTGTTGGCATTTTTAGGCTTGTTGAGTTTTGGTTCTTTTTGAGATGCGCAAATGGAAATCTCTAAATCAAGGCAAGGCAAAGAGAGTTCCATGGGATGTATGTGTGTTCACCAACACAATTGTACAAAAATAGTTTGTATAGCAATTGTATTAAGAAATGATGTCCGTGATTGTAAAACCTACAGCTGCATAGATTTATATTTTTCTTTGAATTTTCTATTTGGATACAACATTTACGGTCGCTATTTCAAGAGTGTGGAACTCCGCTTAAGTAGTGTTTTTTGGTTTCTTAATCTAACAAGCCCAAAAGCGTTTTTCTAATTAAATTTTTACTAACTTTAGCTTCAGCATAAAAAAATATTCAACGTTAAATGGAAATTTTGATATTTTTACCCAAACATTTTACGCGGAAAAGTGAGTTTTCTGCTAGTTGACATATCCAGTAACAATTTGTAACAATTGTGACCAAATGTGGCGTAGCTAGATATACCTAATGACCACAGCTTTTTCTTTGCACGTAATGATCAACATTATTAAATCAACAGATTTGAAATCAGCATTTTTAACTAATAACCACAAATGATGATGCACAAAATGCAGATTAGTTTTAATTAAGGCTAAAATAACTACGTTATTATATTATGAAATGAAATATTATAAAAGGGAAAAAGCATTTGTTAATATTGTATCTTACATGATTTCTAAATCTTTTTTCCTACAAATTTTGTACCTACAGCTTACAACTATACATTCAGAGGAATGATATAAAAATAACAAACACATATTTTTGATTTATATTTGTTTTGGAGAAAAGTTCCCAGATCAGGGATTGTTTTGAATGTACCAAATTCCAAAATCTGCACCCATAACGAAAAGTTTTTCATTTTCCATTTCTACCCGCTACCGAAATATCAAATTATAAACGCTCAGTTGAAAATATAACAAGGATTTTAGAATATGAAAATAACATTTTTTCAAGATATAGTTTCCTTATTCTAACTTTTCCAAATGCTTATCGTTACCGAAAATAGACTTCGTCAGCAGATCGAAACAAAATTATATTCGACTAAAGTACCTACATATATACCGAAGTGTATAAAATCAACACTCAATTTACTGATATGATAAAATATTACAAAATTGCATCCCGGCGAAAGACCTGGGACGTATGAATTCGTAGTAAAAACTATTAAGTTACGTAGTACTCTTAAGTTGCCGGCCCTAGACGGACCACTATCAAAAACTTCTCTAAAAAATTGCTGAGTAGGTGAGTACTTAGGCCCATAAACCGGCATTTTGTTTCAATTTATAAAAAATACCTGTAAAATAGTCCATATGTATGCCGCGATCATTATCCATTCCTTTACGCAACGCTACCGAAGCCAATGAACGAACCTATTTGAGAAAAAACCTTATAACAAGACAAAGTCAAACTCCAGTGATTGAATAACACTACTTACCTGTTTGTAAGAGCCTGCATTTCCAGGAACAAAAATGACGGGCGCGCCTTTCAATTTCATCCTATTTACATCTTGAAGTATTCTTCCTTCGTAATAGTAAAACAGGCCATAGTGCGGGAACTCTGAATTATCCTTAATATTTACTTTCTTAAAAAAAATCTCATTTAGTTCGTTGATGACATGCATTTGCGCATTCATAAATTCATATTCGTATTATTGCTACAGAATACTTACAGAAAATTGGGGAACACCAAACATATATGTCATGCGACAAGCATTTTCCTCAACTTCCAAAAATAGATTTTTTATTCCATAAAGAAAACAAAGAAATGACGCCAATATTAGTAATACTGTTGCATTTCTAAACATTTTATTTGTAGTATGTGTCTTGGTAGGTCTTTTGATTTCCTTGGCAATAGTTTTGTTAGTCCTGTGGTTCCTGAAACACCCAATTAAAAAGTTGACACAAATCGATGACCGTGAAAGTTTATTTTATACAATATATGTATATACACACAGCATTTTGTTAGCCTCGTTTAAAGTCCCTTGCGGATTAAAATTTACCATATACAGCTCTCGGGACCCTGAGAAGAGACTCCTCCAAATTCTAAAATTTTCATAGATTTTTCAATTTTGTAAAGGCAACGACTTCATTAAGAAAATGGAATATATCGGAACCAGGACATCAAGTTTCACAATGACACCCATATTGCTTCGTTTATAGATCCGCAAGGGTGCTCTAAACCAGACATGATCTATAGATTTTTATTTAAATTATTAAAATAATTCATAAGAAGGGATTTACTTTCTAAACTTTCAAAATTTCAAGCTGAGATGTCGAACCGATATAAAAGCAACTTGACATCGCATCCGCAGAAATAAAAACAAACAGCAAAGCGGGAATGAAGAATATTTATAATCAAAACAAAATTTAAGATCGGTTTACAGAGCCCTAATTTTCGCCCAGAAAACATATGCGGTGTTTACGATGGCTAATCACAATGGATTGATAACATTCTTTGTTATTCGCTATAATATGCATTAGCTATAATCATGGTAAAACAATACAGGTAGTCGCATCGGCACAGCTGCTGGGACAATGAAAGTTTTGAAAAAATTTTTCAAATTTGTAAAAATTGTTGAAAAATGCAACCTCCTATTTATGTCGTATGTCCGACACCGGCTAACGCGAACTTAAGTTCTCTTAATTTTCAACTTTTTGTAAATTTTAAACTATTTTCTCCTCTGGTTATGTCCAACTAACACGAACCAAAGTTTTCTAAATTTTATTCGGCCAATATCTCTGTATTGTATGCATAGCTGGGTGCGACCGGACGCGTCCACAGGTTGCGGATAGTGGAACGCCCGATATATCGATGCTACTAGCGTTGGGATGTTACGTAAACCGTGCCTATCTGTGTTCCAAGGTTTGCAGTCAGAGAGAAAAGGCCATTATCAGGGCAAACCTGAAAGCAGTGGGGCAGTTCGAAAATAACCACCCGCTACTGCCTAAGTGTTCACTTGATAAGGATCTTGCCTCTCTCCTTGTCGACCTTATCAAGAGGGCAGGCCCGCTTGCGACGCACCCTTGGGTAAGGGCACCGTGGAGGACAGGGAAATTCCAGTTGTTGGAACTTCAGCTCCGGCCGTTGTACCGTCAACTGAATTAAACACTGTCCCCACTAAGTCCAGATCACCTGTGAAAAAAACGCAATAGGCGGAAGAAAAAGAGGGGAGAGTCTGAAGGCACAGTTATCTCAGCGAAACCAAAGGAGACCGAACCCCCTTCTCGTTCAACGTTGAAGAGGAGACGGTCAACGCAGTAACCACACCCTGAAGCAAAAAAGCCGTCAACGTGTAAACACCCGCTTTCACCTACTGCGTCATCCTCTCAGGCCGTCACCAAGAAGGTTGCCGCTGGATCGCCGCAAGCTGCCAAAACAGTTTTCAAGCGTTAAGGCCATCAATAAACCCCAACCTTCAAGCCAATGCGGTAGGAAGAGGAAAATTTCCCAGACTGTATATCCGGACAACCTCCGCATAGCAGTCTCGATCGTGCTGAGCCGGAAGGCAAAATCAGCGATAATCGGTGGCTGCTCATAGAGGCCCGTCTGAGACAGCTGGTCTTCCCTGGGGAGGAGTGAATGACATCTGCTGCGAGAATGCAGAATCCAAAAACTTCCTCGTAACCGCGTAGCTGGCTTCCACGTCATCGATGGATCCGGCACGTATGCTTAAAATACTGGGGAAACAGAATCTCAACCTTCGTACGGAGAACTGGCGGCTAGTGGGTTCTAGTACGGAGGGTGGAGGCCTTGTCGTCAAGGTATCCATCGATACTGCGGGCGAGCATTACCTTCAGGCGTGTGGGGAGGAGCTGAACTTCGGCGGAGGATGGATTCGTCTAACGCCGCTGAAGTAGGAGGGAGATGCAGCAACTACTAAGTATTATGCAGATTAATCTGCATCACTGCAAAGCGGCTGTAGCTGAACTTCTCCTATCCCTCACTAAGGCTGAAGTTGACATAGCCATGGTCCATGAACCTTATATTTGCAAAAATAAGGTGACTGCTCTGGGGAACGAACGGTACATCACCTACGGCACCTCCAATGGAGATAAGGTTAGAAAATGTATCGTCGCTTAAAAGAACATGAACTTAATCTTCCTTAATCATTTCAGCGGAAGAGAAGCCATGGCGGTTAGATTGGAGATTCGATCTGGAAGGGTTCTAGTCTTCATGTCCCTATACCTGCCATACGAGTACCCCGACACACCGGGCCAAGTAGTAGAGAAGCTGTCCGCGGAGCTGGAAGCAAAGGCAGTCTCATCATTGGATGCGACACAAACGCACACCACTTTCAATGGGACAGTAAGGATACAAATGCAAGAGATGAGTCCGTTTTTGATTTTATTCCTAGACATAATCTGAAAATATGTAATAGCGGAAACGAGGCTACATTTCAAAACAAGGATAGAGAGGAGGTCATTGATCTCACCCTAACTAATGAGGATGAACCGCTCATACTGAACTGAAAAGTATCCTCCGAATGTTCGTTTTCGGACCACCGGAAGATCACATTCCAAGTATTGGTAGAGGGCATTCGTGAAAAACTCCATTGGAATCCTATGATGGCTCGTTGGGACAAATTCACAGAGGCTGAGATTAGCAAGCAACATAAATGTGGACTCAGTTTCGAGTCTGGACGACTCTGTGAATTTCTTGACAAAAGTCTTACTTGAATGATATAAGCAAGCGTGTCCGCTTACATTCCCTGACAAGAAATGCCAACCGCATTGGTGGTCTAAGCACCGAGGTGGTCTTAGGAAAGTAAGCAGACGTGCAGCAAAGGACGTGAACCTGATCAATAGGATTGTAAGCACTCCAAAAATCCTATTTGCCATATACCCCTTCAAGCCCATCAAATCACTGGGATCGGACGGTATTATTCTCACCATGCTACAGCACGCATCGACGGTCCTAGCACCGATTCTGAAAGTGATCGGTACCTGCAAACTATTTCAAACCTAATGCAGGGAGCTCTTGTGAGGCTATCGAGATGGTTGCGTTGCAATGGGCTTGGCGTCAATCCATCTAAAACAGAACTTGTTCTCTTTATAAGGAAGCGGAAACTCCCGGAATTTTTTCCACCATCGCTGGATGGCGTCACATTAAGTCTTTCGTCTGAAGCCAAGTATCACGGCACCATCCTCGACCAGCGTCTGAACTGGAAGAGGGACATCGATGAAAGCGCTAAGCGAGGCTTGATAGCACTCTACTCCTGCAAAAACTCCATAGGGAGAGATGGGGACTAAAACCGTATATCATCAAATGGTTATATGAGATTTAGTTTGGTGGCACTCTCTTGGGAAGGCTTTACCTCAGTAAAAACATTGACAAAGTACAATGAGCAGCACCACTTTTAATTGCAGGTACACTCAGAAGCATACCTAGCAGAGACACTTGGACCCAGAACACCCACCTTCCCGCGGTATAGCTATCTATACCGACGGCTCTAAGATGAAAAGTGGAATATCCGGAATTCATTCAAATTCAATAAAGACTGTAGCGTATTACAGGCAGAAATCTGTCAGGAAAGCAGTAGAATTGCTGATGAATCGAACAGCTGAACTGGATGGACTATATATGTCTATAGTCAAGCGGCCCTAAAAGCGCTAAATTCATCCACCATCAAATTTATGGCCGACCTGGAGTGCAGGATTGGTATGGAAAAAGTGAAGGCCTTTATTAAGCTTTGTTGGGTTCCTGGTCATAGCAACATCTCTGGCAATGAAGCTGCGGATGAATTGGCCAGAAGTGGCTCCGAGTCAGCTCTTCTAGAGATTGAGAGCTCACTTCTTCCAGATTATACAAAAACACTATTCTGGAAGAATAGCCGGTAATTTCTCCGAAAGGAGATCTCTATCACTCATTTCTATGACGAAATCGGACCTAATACTTGTAGTGGGCTTAATTACAGGTCACTGTAATATTAGGGCCATGACTTCCAAGTGAGGGTGACGATCCTGACTATTGTGGGCTTTGTCAAGACGAGGAAGATATAGAAACTGCGGAACACTTACTCTGCCAATGTTCAACTCTTTTTAGAGTCAGACTGAGGCTAACAGGAAAGCAAACTCTGCATGATCTGTCTTCACTCTCCAACACTGAGCCGTCAGTTATTCTTCAGTTCGCTAAAAGACTAAAATGGCTAAAGACAACACGATCAATTCTTTGCGGATACAACCTTCTAACATAAGCCTATTTCCTTCTCTCTTTATTTTTCACTCTATCAGGATGATCACAATGGACCAGCAGGTCTCCGAGTCGAACGGTTGCTAAGCAACCACGCAACATATAGAAAGGTTATATGTTGCGTGAAACATATAGAAAGGTTATATTTTAAACTATTTGTAAGTAGCCGGCATTTCGCCGGGGTTTGAGATTTTCTCCCCTGGGTATATCCCGCAGCAGGTAACGCGATCTCAAGTTTACTACTTTTGATTAACTTTTGATTATCTTTGTAAGTAGTCCCCACAGGAATCGGTCTTGCAAATGGGATTATGTCCGGGTGACTGTATATAGTCCAGTGAAAATAGACCTAAACGAAAATACAGCTTAATTTTGGTATGGAGTTAGAGTTTATCATTACAAATAAAATGTCGAAGGTCCCCAGAAATCCTACAGAGTCAAGTGTCGCTATTTTAGCCTCCATCATACAATTGTAACTAATCGAAATAATCATTGTGTGTTCTTGATCAGAGTAAAATTCTAAATCGTTTGCCACTATCTTCCGAACTAATTGAGATTGAAGGCTAAAATTCTGAACATATGTATATTTTATCAGTGGGCAAGTTAAGATCGGAGTAAAATAAGGTGTGTCTGGTTACCCTAAAATTTGTAACAATTGTTACAAATTGTTACTGGAAGTCGTCTGTTAACCCGAAAGTTCTGCAAAAGAGAGCGGTTGGAGAGAGAAATTTTGACAGTTCTTTCAGTGAGAGTATGCAAATTCTTGCTGGAAAAATTTCTTCTTGCAATCTCTTGCAACTCTTCTTCTTCTCATTCATCGACATTCAATCAGATGTGTTCTATTGTTTATTTATTTCTTTTTGTGATTTTAATTTGAAAATATTGGTTTGGAATTAGCAAGACTAATTGTTTTTGGAGAACAACTTTACAAAATGTGAAAAACGTAAATGTTAATATGTAATAAGAA